CCCCAAAACCCCAAAACCCCAAAACCCCAAAACCCCAAGATCAAAACTCATAATCGAGCTTAAAATATTTTTAAAAAATGAAGCATCATCAATTATCCAAAGAGCACGAGAGGTGCTTGCGAGTGCCCTCGCCTCAGCTAGCATTGAACGATAGAGTCTCTTCACTGCAAGTTTCCAATCCATTGATGCTGAAGCTCACAGATTTAGGAGCTAAAGTAGACTCTTTAGAGGAAATCTTAAAGAAATATACTACCAGGAAGACTAAATAAGTTTCCACAGCGAATGAACCAAATCTGAAGAACTTTACAGGATATTAGGCAAAAAATTAGAGACATGGACAAGGAGTAAATTGATGCACATGCTGAAGAACCTCAAAAAGAAACCAGCCTAATCTTAATGAAGACCAACCAGGTATTGGACGATTATTCAGAGATGTTTTACCATCCGATCACAGAAAAGGATATTTGTTTAAGAAAAGATACACAGAGTTATGAGCAAGGTAGATTCACAGGCCATTTTCTTAAAGCTTCAAGGACATTAGTATCATCACTCCCTAGCTCGGCTAATAACTATGCCCCTGAAACAATAAGTTATAAAGAAGACTTTAAAGCTGATATGGGAGTTGAAATAAGTCCCATTGCAGTAAACAAATTAGAGGATACTAAAAATGCTCGTCTCTTTTACAGACCTATTGAGACTAAAATCCAAGCCAACTCTAATAGAATAAACACGAAGGTTTGGAAAGCTGCGGCCCTAAATATTCTATGCAGAGACTTCGAGTTTAATAAAAGAACTAAATTGAAGGTATTCGCTCATGAACATAAGCATCATAAATTGATAAAGAAGATGAAGTTAATCCATCTTTCAAATGTATACGAATTGACTTTAATTTTTTGTCCTTCTAACAACAGATACTTGAAGTACTTCTTGAATCATTTGACTCCACAACACTGAGAATTATTTAGAGTAAGCTCTATAACCTTGACAAGTATAACTAGGCACATGGCTCTGGTCACAAAAATGAGCCAGAGATCCTCCTCTGTAATTACTATTAGAAATTACAAAATAAGTCAACCTCAGTTCAAGAGATTACTGTTGGTAAACAAAATAAAGTGAAAGGTTGTATTTGAGAACTGCTTAATATCTTGTCCTTCAATCCCAGACTTTACTACATGATTACACGGAACTAGAATTGAAAAGTTGTATTTAATTGATTCTACAACAAATAACTTTACCCGCTTCGATACCAGACTCTGACACTTTGAGAACTTGATAAGTGCTTTTTCAAAAACAGACTTAAGAAATACTTTGAAAATATTGTATCTGAATGGACAGCGCCTGACTGACAGATATGTAGCCGAGGTCCTTCAGAGATACAATCTCAGCCACATCATCGTTTTAGGCACTATATAAGATCAGTAGAAGTAACTGCTTATATATCTTTCATTATTTAAATTTTAACCACTTAAAATCCAAACTTCATCTAAACCAAAATCTATCATAAAAACTCCCCTAAAACTTCTTACAAACCCCAAATTCCCCTTCATATCCAAAATTTTCAAAATCCCCAATCTCATTTCCAAAATTCCTACCAAACAACACCCCTAAATCTCATATTTTCCTTCTCACCCAGTCAAAGTCCCAAATTTTCCCAAATTTCCAACTTTTACTCCTAAAAATCCCACTTAACGGCAAACACAAGATCGCTAGCCTGCTGAAGCCAGATAGTAGGGATGAGCGAGGAAGGTGGGGATGGGTGGAAAGGATTTTATATATGTGGGGTTGGTAATGAAGGAGAGGGGGATTTTGGCATTTTAGAGGTAAAGAATGAGTCAGGAAGGAAGAAGAAATGAAGGGGGTAATCTTGGCTGGGAGTGAGGTTTTTTTGGATGATTTTTTGGGTATTAGAAGATTTTTGGAGGGGGAATGGTGTTAGGAAGAAGTTAGAGGTTGTAAGACAAGGAGGAAGGGAAAGGGGAGGACAAGAAGTATCAAAAGAAGACTACTGTGAAGAAAAGCTTTAATAGCATTATAAAGTTATAAGTCCTGTACCTATAAGTTTTAAATCTCATATATTAGCTTAGGGGTTTTGGGGTTTTGGGGTTTTGGGG